AATCGGCAATTACTTAGTTGCCAACCCAATAAATACAGTAATGTCTCTCTGATTGACGCTCGGATTGTGCCACGCAGATGGACATTTCAGGAAGAGTAGATACGATTATTCGAGGCTTGCGGTTTCTTTTTATAGTTACGAAAATTGTCGACAACTATAAAAACGAGCTGCAAGGCTCGTATAATCGTATCTCCTGTTCCCAAATTGTCCATCTTCGTGGCACAATCCGAGCGTCAATTAGGGAGACATTACTGTATCCATGACCGCTGCATTCAATTTGTCCAGTTGCTAACATTCACGGATAATAAAAAATAACATAATAATAATAATAATAATTTTATAATACAACATTTACGAATATCATAAAAATGGAAGTGAGAAACATCTATAACAGAGAATCGGCAATTACTTAGTTGCCAACCCAGTATAACGTACGACCAAATAAACCCGAAATCTAGAAACCCATGGAAACATCGTGTTCGCGCCACATTTAATTCGAAGCATTAACATCTTTGCAGACTTATCGAAATGAAGGGGCGTTTGAATCGCCGGAAACATGTATCTTATCGTTTCCCTTCGCGCAGCCACGCATATATGCATGCCTAATTTAATCTGCTCTTCGAACGTGCTTGGCTTTCCAATTAATTCTCGATGATCATTTATCGCTAACAACGCTCTAAATAGGTCGATTCATCCAGTTTATCAACAAAAAAAACATCGGCTTATCATAGCGACCCTGGATTATATACCTGGATTATTATACCTGTTCGCCTAGCCAGTAGTACATGTAGGATAAAGATCGCCATTTGTTTCAATCGACAGGTGCTGGTATAATGAAGCCATCCATGAAAATGGGAGTGATAGTGCTAATAGGCGTATTCGTGGTGTTCTACCAGTACCATCTTTCGACGGGTGTGCGATTCGATCAGATGACCGACTTCAACACCGGGGGCTCGGCCGAGGAGAGCCCGGTCTTCTCTCAAGAAGACGTGGAAAGCTACGTCAGGACGTCCAAGTGGAAAGAAGATATGGTAATAAACCGATGCAACCTACTTTTTTTTTCAACGCGAGACTGTACGGAGACGACGGGGAGATTCTCGAATGAAATGTGTGAAACTATTTTCAGATCCGGAGCGCGGTGCACAGGGTCCAGGAGGCGAACGGATTGAGTCCGGACATCGCGACGTCGTTGATCCAAGAGCTGCTCAATCATTTCAATAAATACTCGGCCTTGGTACACGACGTGGCAGGGAACAACTCGAAAACGGCGCAGACGCAGTTGTCGCCTCAGATATCGTCGCAGCTGTCGCCGGCAACGCCGAGGGTACAGGTGTCGTCGGATTCCCATCCGCAGCAAGATTTCTCGCAGGAAACGCTGGAACCATTGTACATAATAACGCCAACATATCGAAGACCGGAACAGATCCCGGAGCTGACCAGAATGTCTCACACGCTGATGCTGCTCGAGAACATCCACTGGCTCGTGATCGAGGACGCCAACGTCGCCACGAGCCAAGTCACACGGCTGTTGGAACGTACAGGGTTGAAATTCGATCATTTAACCGGTAAAGAATTGCGGAAACGTCGCCTTGACCCTGCAACACCACTTCCGTTTTTCACGGACCGTTCGGACACCGGAATCACAACAAACACGTCGTTCTTTGTTCTCGTTTTAGATGAACTACACAACACGTAGTCGAACACTCGCTGTTGTTACGCAATCGAGTCTCCCGAGATCTCGATGTGATATTGCAGGGTCACGGGTATACGGTAATATTGGTTTCTCAAGAGCAAAAACTCTACTGAGACTATACCGAATGAAAGTGATCGACGATGTTAATGCGTCTATTTTTCTTCCTTTTTCTTAGCTCCGATGCCCGAGAAATACAAGCAGAAGAAGGGCGCGAAACCGCGAGGTGTGTCGAACCGAAACCGTGGCTTACAATGGATCAGAGCGAACGCGACCAATGGTGTATTTTACTTCGCCGACGACGACAATACCTACGACATAGCCCTCTTCGACGAGGTATATATACGTAACCCAGACCTTAGCAGGCTTAGTCACATCTCGCGGTGCTCTTAATACCAGTTATAATTAACACGGGCGGCGTTAATTTTAGATCCGTCGCACAAAGAGGATATCGATGTTCCCCGTGGGTCTGTGCACAAAGTTCGGTTTGAGCTCGCCGATCATTAAGAACGGGAAATTCGTTGGTTTCTACGACGGCTGGATAGCCGGCCGGAAATTCCCCGTGGACATGGCAGGGTTCGCGGTGAACGTGAAATTTCTTCTCCAGAGGCCGAATGCAACGATGCCGTTCAAAGCCGGCTACGAGGAGGATGGATTTCTGAAGAGCCTTGCCCCGTTCGAGCCGAAGGACATCGAATTCCTGGCCGACAATTGCACGAAGGTTCTCGCGTGGCACACGCAGACCAAAAAGAACGAGGCCAGCGCGCCCCTCGACATGAAGCTTTACAAGGACACGAATCTTGTCAGATTGAAGGAGCAGATAGTCTGATGCCTCGTCTGATAACGTACCGATCTCGAATTATTGGAGACCGTGTGTCCGAAAACGCGACGGGAATCATTCGCGGACCGCGATGAACAACGTGATTCAGTGCCTGAAGTAGTGTAACCGTACCGATCGGCATAGCAACTATATCATTATTCGTTTTCGTTAGTTTGGTCAAGCTACGAATTCCCGAGACACGCCGAATAGTACAGATCGTCGTCCGTCTATGCTTGATCTACCAACTATGATAACAACTAGGACACACAGACGGAGTGCAGGTACCTCGTTATCTATTGAATCTATGTCCCTGTATAACGTGTGCTCTTGGTTATTAGCTGCATCGACCTTTGAGTTTTAAGCTATTCAATGCGCGATACATACTAGCCTGTAGAACCGTAGGCCAATGACCGGATTAGTTGTTAATTTGAGAGAAAAGAAAAAGATAGGAAGAGTGGTACTGATCGGTAGAAGACTTTGCGTTTAGCATCGTTTCAGATTTGCTTTACGTTCATATACATATACGTAATTTTCAAATACGCCTAAGAATGTCGGTTCGATGCGTGACCAATGCACATAAAAAATGTAAAGTAATCGGGAAACGAATAGGTGAAGCGTAGCTGTTCTTTTCTATACGGAACGATTAAATATTTATAGGAGATCCAGGAATAAATGGCCGACTTAAGCTGGCTCGTTTCACTCGAGAACGATGGATCTTGGCGTCAAGAGATATGACTCCTATTTATGGAACAGCCTGTACGCGATACGGATAAAGGCACTTAGTTTTTTGCAGTGTCCGATGCTTCCATCTTTTACACAGAGTATAACATTTATTTAAACGTAGAGTACCTCCGAATGATTTTCATTGTTACTGGAAGGATCTTTCCAAAGGATCAAAACCAAATAATTCAACGAATATCGTTAACAAGTCCAATGTTTAGGGTTCTGGAATTAATTTAGCATTTAATAGAATCTTTTGATTGTGCGAAATAGCCAAATAATGTATGCCAGTTTTTAAAGGTTTCTGAAGTATCGTAAGAGCAAGGAAACACGACGACTACCGTGTCGTGTATCGGTCGGAAATATTCATATCGAATACAGTCGCTAACTAGGTAAATAAAGAAATATGATTTAATGAAAGAAGTAACGCTTAACAGTGTAGCTTAAAAACAATTGCAACAACGCGGCATTAAGAATTTCAATTATTGATATCGATTGAGTTGTTGAGAAAGAGTTTTAGGTACGTTTAAAACCGTTGCACCTTATAGATAATCTTAGAAACGCCTTGAGTGAAAAAAAGAAGAAAAACACGGAAAATGTATTTGAATCCAAAGTCAAAATAGCCGTTGACAGGGTTGCAACGAATTTCTTGAATCAGCACCTTACATAGGCAACAACAATTATCAAAGTGACACAAGTGATATATAGAAAAGTTTTGAAATTCCGTAGATTTTAGATCTCTTGTTGCTCGAGTAGAGAAACCGCTATCTTCTACTCAATCAATGTCGGTCGTGCAATAATCTTGATTTTTGTTTAACGTTCAACGACTGAATTGAATAGTATTGTTGAACCATTTAGGTATGATAATCGAGTAGCTCAACGTAATTATTCTAGCCCCGATTCGACGTAGCACTTAATTTCGAAGGAAATCCGTTTTGGGGCAACAAAGTACGTTGAAACAAGCCGATTGTGTTTGTCGCAGTTTAAGAAGGGATCTAGTCGAATGGATTCGTTGATGAAAGCAATAACTTGTTGTCAGATTAGGGTGGTTCCGCGCGAATCTTGTGATCTGTATGAATGAACGTCAGCGTCGTTAAAAAATCGTCAAAGCGATCGAAGCAATGTTATTTTTAGTCTTGGCTGTACCAAATAAAATCAATTTGCCCGCCTTTCATTTTTGCGATATTAGCGCGACGTTTTGGTGTTGTGCGCATGCGCGTACACGATACCTCTGCTCGCAGTATCGCACGCGCCCGTAATCAGTCAGTCAGTCAGTCGTCGCGCGTCAGTCTCGCGTGTACGAAAAGGATGGTTTTAACCTGTTAAACGGATGAATGTTTGATCAAAAAAAAAAAGAAAAAAAAATCTGTGGACAACGCGATAATCACGTGTTTACAGAATACTTTAACCTAATATAGATATTAGAAAATAAGTAAGAGTAAGAGTTTAGGTAACGAAATAAAAAAAATATTTCAAGTCATCGAAAGGGAAAGCACAGTGGAGGATGAAATAAGGAATTAACCGATTAACAGGTTAAACAGAGCACAGAACTGAAAGGCACTAAATAGCTAACCTCGACAATAAGCGTGACACCATTGTTTATATAGAATTTCCGTTTAATCATTCGTACGCGCGCGCGTGTTTGTTGTATGTGTGCGTGAAGTACTTGAAATTAAAATCAAGAACGAAGATATTTGCTCCCCTGTTCGCGCGTGGCAAGTAGTCATTTTTGTAGACTGAATCGCGCGTCGAATTATTGCTCGAGTGTAATTAGTCTTTTTTTTTTGTTTCAAATATTTCGGGAATTGTAAACCAAAAGAAGTTGAAATTTTCAACAAACACGTTCGAATAGGATACAGAACCTCTCTCGTGATTCGCGTTCTTACTAGGCTCACGACCTCAAATTAATGGGCAATAATTCTACTATACATGGGTTTTTGCCAAAATTTTCATTCAACTGTATGTGTTACAAATTATTGAAACTCGATTGGTGCTAAGTTTTTACAGCTGTTACAAATATGGTCCTAGCAATTATGTGAACCAAGTGAGGTTCTCTGTATTATATTAGATAGGCGTATAACATAATCTGGCCATTCGAGCCACCGAATAATTAATTCTCGTTATACGAATTATCGTACGATTAAGAGCGCGCAAGATGGAAGAAATCTAGTGATTTCGTAAAACACTTGTGCCACGATTGTCATTGAAACAAAAATACTTTTTTCCTTGTTTTTAAACGAAGAAACAATAATTTGCAATAAAAAACCTACTTGATTCGAATAGATTCCGAAAGAAGTCACCGTATTTATTCCATCGAGAAAATTCGGACGAAAGCGGCATCGATATGACTTTGAATGCGTGTGACACGTTTGTATAAGACTGAAAGCAGGAAGAGGGTTTTTTTAAATGAATTTGTTAGACGAATTCTTCAGATACTCGGGAACGAAATAACGCGAAATGGTTCGTTATTAGCGATGGTACTACATACATATATACATGTATGTATATATAATATAATAATATTATTATATATTATATATAATATTATAATATATATATTATTATTATAATAATATTATATATATAGTAATATATTATACATACATGTATGTATGTATAATATAAAGCAGAAAATATACATGCTATCCATTGAGCGTTTTGCTTCCACCGGTACAGCGGGTACATGGGTACTGGGTAAAGCCAGAGATCTCAATTATTCGCGTTCCACAAAAATCAGTGCATATGGCGTCATACTTAATGTCTTGGTTTACTGCGTAATCGAAGCTAGGCGTGGAAAAAAAGGTGGGAAGGCTCGAATTTATACGCGAGTAAAGCTTGGACAATACGAGTCTGAGAGAACTTAAAAGGAATCCATCCAAGCATTCGGAAAGTTTTCCATACTGTTTCTAATCGCGCGTCTACAAGTATTATTGTCGCGATCGTGACATATCTTATTAGTTACAGGATAAGCCGTCGTTTTAAGTAGATCTGCAACCGAAAGATGTAAGAAAGAAAGATATATCGTTTTGGTATACAGAAACGTATGAAGATTTAATTCGGCGATTTCTTTTTCATACGATGGTCAAAGGAGGAAAGTATGAATTTACTTTCGAATGGTTTACTTAATAATCTCTCGTTGCGTTCTTACGATTACATAGTCGAAATGGCGTCAAGTCAAATAAAAAGAGACAAACCCACTCCTACGTGTGGACGACCGTTCACGCTTATTTAGTTAATTATTGTTCCTCATAGAAAGATGTAAGAAAAGTAATAAATGATAATGTGATATTCTACAATTAAATGACATTTGTAAAAGTGTCTGCTTCTGCCACAGACACACAATGAAAACAAGGTAGAAGATTCAATTTCCTTTTTTAGTTTTTTTTTTAGTTTTTTTTATTACCATGATATCCTCTGAGGATGAGGTTCGTTGCTCCAATAAAATGTCTTATTAACGAAAATATAAAATTGTAAGAAATTGACTAACAATGTAGTAATTGTTTCCATGATAATTTGCCACTTTTTTGGTTCTTGCATTAATAAACGATGAAGAACATATGGAATAATGAAGTAACGTGGTTCTACGAGGAGTTGAGGAATCAGGACCACGGTTACCATGAAAACGTAATTGATTTGCGTAGTAAATCTCAAATGCTTGATTCGATGGAACATAGTGTACAGGGTAAACGAATAAACGGGTATTAGTAGATATTTGAACAACACATATCTCCCCATTAGCCTATTCCAAAAGTAAAATATGTAATGTCTATTGTCAGCCAACATATATGGATGAACTAGAGTGTTAAAATGGACTGTTACGGTTAACAGAACCAGAAGGCAACAGTGAAGAATCCAATGCGTTTGAATAAAATTAAAGTAAGACTTCCAATAAGTAATCGTATAAGGCCACAGAAAGCAAGAAATAAAAGCAGAGAAATAGAATAATTGAGGGAGATGAATAGTGGGAACATGAGCTGCACGATCTCCAATCACTATACCCTTATTCCAAATAACGAACAGAAGAAATACTAAACATACTGTTATGTATGGAAGCAACTGTACGATAATTTCAATAATAAATTGACAAAATGATGTCCATCCACGAGATGTTTCTTCCATTATCTTTTTCCATTGTTTCTAAAAATTACATAACAAAATGTAAGAGCAAGATATTACAATTTTCTATTTTTCATCGAATTACTACTCACTTTTAAATAGACAAGAGAATTATACTCGTATTGCGTTATAGATTTAGGCTTACTACGATCTAATAAATCAAATGCAAGCTCCACGGTAACAAATGCGATCCAAATGATATTTGTTTGACGAATTAGTACAGACAACAGACCTGCATATTACAGATTATAATTTTATCTTTCGAATGAACTGCGTTCTGATCTATCGCTGTTTTAATACGTACCTACAGTCGCTGCTGTTTTAAATTTTTTACGTAAATGCAGTAGTAACATTAATAATATACTATTGACTGACACAACGTCTGTATAATATAAAAAGTGCCAGAAGAACAAGGGTGGGAACAACATAATATTGCAAGCCACCATGAGTTGTGTCCAATTATTCCATTTCTGTGTTCGACGAGTTATTGTAATACGTTCGATTATGTTGTGGACAAGATAGAAATTAAAGAATGTTCCAAGTAAATTTAGACATCTCATATAAAAGATGTTACAAAGATTGAAAGGTAATAATACTAGAGTTGCAATTAAATACAATCCAGGTAGGGTGGTAATTTTAGGATCCCACTGAAAATAATATGTCTTTCAAATATAATTTATTCTAAAAAAAGCATACTCGAAACATTGTTCTACAGTTAATACAAATTCTAAGGTGAATTGCTACAGAGAAGAAAAGAAAGATATCTCTTGCGTGGTCCAAATTTTGGATAATGTTTTGATACAAAAGAGAACATAAAAATGTCGGAAACTAAAACGTACCTGTGTAAAATTACTGGCGCAATACTGCAATGTTTGCGGTACATGGAAAACCTCGTCAATAAAAAAATATGGTTGCACACGATTCAGATAAAGGAATAATAGTATAATCCACGAGAATAATAATACAATAGAAAACTGTTGTACAACTTGCGGATTAAATTTCGACGGGACAGCCATAGTTTCAACAACGGAAGTGATAAAAACATGAAAATGTGACTCGATTTCAATTTCACTCGAGCAAACACATTAACCTATTGATCGATGTAAACATGTTTAGATACTGATCGTACGGATCAATTTTCGCATACCACTCTAATTAATTTCAATCAGATTGTACACATTAAATAATAACTGTCGGAAACACGTGTTGCCATCAGGTATGTATCGAATACTTTAAGCTTACATATGTGACATTAAAACTTTGCTTGCGGTTCACTTTATGATTGCACGTGAGAAATTGCAATATATGTATACGAAAATAGAATTCAATAAATATACAATGTCATATTATTCGATTAAATATTTTTCTGGTCAGATCTGCAAAAAGTTAATTATTATTAAAAATATAGAGAACAGATGATTCTGGCTGCTTTTGTCATAAGATACAATATTGAAGCCGGCAAGAATCGGTCGCCATCTTGGCGATAGTAGCGCCACTTGTGGCGGAAAAATGAACCTTCGTCCGGGGTCCGTACAGCGCCAATTAGTAGACGGTAAAACGCTCAAACTGTTAGCCAAACGATACCGACGAAGATAAATTGCACCAGCGATGACAATTAGCTTAGTGACAAAAATGGCCGACTTAACAGTTGAAGCAATCTGCCACTGTAAGCAGTGGCACCACTAGTCTCATTACCATATCCGCTTTAACCGTTGGTAAATTTGTCCATCGGTTTGAATGTTTCGCCGCTACATTAATTGGCACTGTACAGAGATGTTCCACCTATCGAAGTCGCTTATCGATACTTGTTCAAAAGCACGCTCAGAAATGACGCGCGGCAAATACACCCGCTTACGTTCTAACATTTTATGTTTGAAATATAAAGGGGAATGAAAATTCTTCGTGAATTGTTTATAAAATAAAAAAAAAATATTCACTATAATGTCGAGATAAATAAGTTTATTGTAACTTATTCTCAGATTCGAGGTGAAGCAGTCTGAGTAATCTTGATCTTTTTTTGTTGTTGTTGTTGTTATATGTAAAAACGTCGACAGAATACAAAATTGCAATACTTTACAAATAAGTAGATTGTAATCACTAGGCAAATTTGTTGCAGCTAGATTGTGCTAAGCTAGGCTCTTGTTTCGTACAACAGAACCTTACTGGAGAACGTATATTAATTACAAGAACAAATTTTTGATGCACCTTACATCCGATACATTCACCTTTTACGGGACGTATAATGTAAACGAATAAAAGCTACTAATCAGGGCGTCGTTCGTTACGGATAGTATCAACGTATCGAATTAGAAGATTCCAAGTAAAATTTAGCATGTATGTTATGTATGGTAACACGAGAAACCTGGAGCGATCGTTACGAAATTGGATAATGATAAACACTTTTTGAAGGATTTCAAGACTGAAATCACACATCATAGTATGTACTTTTCCAAGTTTGGCTTCTTTTTTGGCTGCTAACAGCTCCTTTTTTTTTTACTTTACACGCTAAAAGATTTTGCGTTGCACAGTTTGTTTGTGTACAAATTCCATCTCATAACAACATCGTTCGATAGAGTTTCAAAATGCTATAATGTTAGTCAGTAGAACGCATATCGATGTTCGGTTTTAATTCTGCACTACTACCTGGTTCCTTCCTGGCACGCAGGAAAATCGATCCACATCGTATATCGAACTTTATGGCATTTGGACCTGAGAATAATTATAGCATTTATATATGAATATAAATGAATATTTATATATAATATATATATATAATATTATTATAATATTATTATTATAATAATAAAATTCAGTATTATTATTATTATTACAATATTATAATTATATATAATATAATATAAATATATAATTATATATATATATAATAATATAATATATATATATATATATATATATTATATTATTATATATATATATAATCTGTCTCTTATACACATCTAGATGTGTATAAGAGACAGTTCTAAATGTGCACAACGAAAGTAAATAACGAGATGTGTATAAGAGACAGTTCTAAATGTGCACAACGAAAGTAAATAACGAGATGTGTATAAGAGACAGTTCTAAATGTGCACAACGAAAGTAAATAACGAGATGTGTATAAGAGACAGTTCTAAATGTGCACAACGAAAGTAAATAACGAGATGTGTATAAGAGACAGTTCTAAATGTGCACAACGAAAGTAAATAACGAGATGTGTATAAGAGACAGTTCTAAATGTGCACAACGAAAGTAAATAACGAGATGTGTATAAGAGACAGTTCTAAATGTGCACAACGAAAGTAAATAACGAGATGTGTATAAGAGACAGTTCTAAATGTGCACAACGAAAGTAAATAACGAGATGTGTATAAGAGACAGTTCTAAATGTGCACAACGAAAGTAAATAACGAGATGTGTATAAGAGACAGTTCTAAATGTGCACAACGAAAGTAAATAACGAGATGTGTATAAGAGACAGTTCTAAATGTGCACAACGAAAGTAAATAACGAGATGTGTATAAGAGACAGTTCTAAATGTGCACAACGAAAGTAAATAACGAGATGTGTATAAGAGACAGTTCTAAATGTGCACAACGAAAGTAAATAACGAGATGTGTATAAGAGACAGTTCTAAATGTGCACAACGAAAGTAAATAACGAGATGTGTATAAGAGACAGTTCTAAATGTGCACAACGAAAGTAAATAACGAGATGTGTATAAGAGACAGTTCTAAATGTGCACAACGAAAGTAAATAACGAGATGTGTATAAGAGACAGTTCTAAATGTGCACAACGAAAGTAAATAACGAGATGTGTATAAGAGACAGTTCTAAATGTGCACAACGAAAGTAAATAACGAGATGTGTATAAGAGACAGTTCTAAATGTGCACAACGAAAGTAAATAACGAGATGTGTATAAGAGACAGATTATATATATATATAATAATATAATATATATATATATATATATATATATGTATATATAAAATTATATATATTTATACATAAATGAATATTTACATTAAAAGAATATTTATAGTCGTATTTACTAATTGTAAGTGGGAAAAGAAACGAAAGTTCGATCGGAGGGTAAATGCACCAACGGCGAACAAGAAACGCGACGTCTTGTCGCCGTTACTCGTGGAGAACATGATCTTTGCGTATGTAGACATTGTACATAAAGAAGGTGTAGGCAGACTGTGTTATACGATATACGCGATACGTAGTATATCAGGATCTAATTATGCACGCGATACACGAAATTTTTATTCGTATATCGTATATATATATGCATCATCGTACAAAGCTGAGCAATTCTTCTCGTCGAGATCATGTATAGTGCTTATTCTCTCTCGCGTTCTTCCGCTTTCCGTCGATTTGTTGACCGATCTTAGACAAACAAAGAAAGAGATGCAACATTTTGGCGTATGTACAAGTTCACTTATCCTTAAAAAAAAAAAATTGTACCAACAAATTCTAAATGTGCACAACGAAAGTAAATAACGTTCAATGTTGCAACTTGAAAAGAACGACCGAACCGTTATAAAGTCGAACCACTCAATTATATAATACACGAAGTTCTGTCTATCATAAAATCTTTGTCCTTTCAAGAAAAAATCCCCTAACGTTCGTATATATAGGTGGCACAGGATCGTGGATAAAACTATCGTACGTGTAATAGTTGTTAAGTACAATAGAAAGTTGTCACGCGGGTGTTAATGCAACAACGAATCGTTCATTTTTGATTTATTAATTCGTTCGAACGAAAACAATTCTATTGTTTTTTTTCTTCATGATTACAAATAAATTTGCTCTTTGTAATATGCTTATTTTTTAAATGCATCGATATCCAATTTCGAGAAAAATTTTTTTCATAGAGATTCTATCGTCTCGATGATTGTTCACGATTGCGTACGTACGTGGCTTGTTAAACGTTGGTAAAATTACAACATGCACGGTACTGAAAAAACACGAGATAATCGTCGATGAAACGGATTACAAGTATATTTTTATTCGGCCGTGAAGATGATCGTTTGTTTTTTTTAGAAAAGCAATACCGTATTTCGTTTCGTTCAACGCTACGAACACTAATGTATTTTCATTCGAAAGTCGGTGGGGATGATGAGTGTGGCGTAGTGTAGCTGTGGGGGCGGGGGTGGGGGGGCGGATGGACGGGGTATTCGAAAGGTGAAAGGGAACTTAGTGTTACGCGGGTCTCTTAGTTTCCGACGAATGGCCGTAGAAATAAAAGAGAATGGTGGGACACAAGCGTAAATGTAAACATCATTCTCCAAACTCGCATGGCTACCTGAGACATTTTGTATCTTTCAGTCGTGTTAATTAAATCTTCCTTTCGTCACGAGACGATAGGGACGCGGTCACGAAAGCGCGCGCGTGCGAGCGCACCTTCGTCACTGAAAGCAATATCTAGAAAAAAAAAAGAAATAAAAAAGGAAATATATCAAAACGGTACGCTTAGGTTTACTCAATCTTTTGTCTCTCCTATTGGAAAACTGAAAAGCATGTTATGCACGGTATACAACTAATACTTTTGTAGGCGTTCAATTCTACATATTGCTTTGAATGTTCCTCATGTACTCTTGAACAGAGAGAAAGGACGAAACACTGGAAGAAGCACATGTTTTAGATACAAACAACGAATCGATACAGTTTGTTGTTGTTGTTGTTGTTGTTGATGGACTGCGGATACTTATATGTAACTATCGTACTCTCTCAGAATATCGTTAAATAACAATTAGGATGTTCTTTAACGGTTTTTTACGCACTGATTTTAGACATTTTTATTCGCGTAGGATCCGCAGTCCGTTTTATCAGCACTTGTGGAATGCCTGCAGTCGAAACGATTTGAAACGCTGGACACGCATATAGCAAAACGAAATCCCTATGCGCCGCCTTCGTGAAATCATAGTCGTCGTGTACCTTAAGTAAACACCGTAGAGAACGTTTGCGAATTATATACAATTATTTTCGTTTTTCTTTCGCTATATCGCTTCACTCAAATTGCTACGACATAAATAATTAAAAAAAAAAAAAAAAGAAGTAAATGAACACAATGGGACGTTAAGAACCCGTTCCATTACGGAGAACAATAAATGAATGAAAGTATGATGATATCGTTCGAGTAAAAGATATAATACATTCTTGATTATTATAGACGTAAATGTTAACCGTTAATACTACGAGTTATATCGTTAAACAAGATAATATCTGTTGTGTCTGCCCGACTTTGTTTTCAGCTCGACGAAAATCATCTCCAAGGTACGAGAAACCGACCGTGAGGCGGTCGACTTGTATAAAAAAAAAACGCAAGCTTGTGCAGACAATAAACAAAGATCACTCCTTAGGAACTAACGAGACTTAAGCATTACACCCGGATCCGAGATCGAGAGTACAACGATCAACGATCTTGTTCGGATTAAGCGTTGTTTCGTATGTACAGTTATCGTATAATATAATAGATAACAGGTAACCCACTGATAATAAGGGGTATTTGCGTTAGGAATATCATGCAGACAAAAGAGGGCCATTTGTTTCCAGACATTTTATTTTGACTACGAAAGAGAAAGAAAGAAAGAGAAAAAAAAAAGAAACAAAAAGATCCCCAACTTCGGTTCTGAGACACGACTCGTGAATATTTATTTCTCGGTTGTTGTTTTTTTCTTTTTTTTTTTTTTTTTTAATTTT